ATGATCTATTTTGAATTAGCTAAACGTAAGTTCGTTGATTTGTTAGTTCTCACCATTCTCTCGTTGATCTTGAGGTGCGACAAAAGCCCTCTGGTAATTGAGAGAGATCTGGAGGTCAGCGGCTCGGCGAGACGCCTAATTAGGTAGAATGGTTTAGTGCAGGAGAGATGGCCGCGATGAAACTCGAAAAAGCATGGAGAATTTTGTGACTTGAAATTCATATCAATGTAAAGCATTTCAATGGTATACTTTTTGTACTGTTTTCTTTCCATGAAAAAATGTGAATTTCGCTCTGATTCAAGGCCTCGAAATTGACAGTGCTAGGTAGGAACTTCAAAAACTTTCGTCAATGGGGTGAGCTCTGTAGAAAAGGAACGTTAAGTGACAAGGCTCAGATCCTATTAGTTTTTACTATACTTTGGCTCAAAGGAGCTTTTCCATGTAAAAATGACATTCAACAAAGCTGACCCACCTGGGATGAATTCGGTATCAAAATGACGAGCACCATCTGAAGAACACAACAGTCTCTTTTTCACTTTACATAGGAGTAATATAATAACTTTATTACTCGCTAAATACTACTATTAATATCTGTTCCCCTCTGGTTATAATTATAGCGAGCGACGCTCGCTAATGAGTCAGCCTCAGGTAATTTGATAAATTTCATGAAAATGAAGCTGAAAATTCAGAGGAACTCAATAGTCCTCTGAACCGTTGATTCTTCGTGAGCAGAGCTATCCAGTGGTATAACTTTCGAATGACCTAATCCATTTGTTCACGAGTTATGGCGAGGCGACGGTTGCGACGGACTGACTGCGTCGCATTTCGTCGATTGAACAAAAATTAGTAGCGGTATTGTATTTCCTTCGCTTTTTTCCGTAAAAGTAATAGCCAGATGATGTTACGTCATTGCTCATTTGCGTTGTGATTACTGATGAGTTACCCTCCGGAGCGGATCTAGCGCAAAGGTGAAGCGTATTTACGCGAAGCGAAAGTGACATCTGTCACAAGAGAACAAAATACCCCCCCCCCTGACAAAGTTGTGAACAACCGAAATTTTGAGCATTATATCGACGAAGTGGGAATAACCATGGATGATAGTGAGAATTATCCGAGATGGTTTCACAAACAGTCATTCTAGGCAAGATTAGAATACCTGACTATGGCTGACAATGGGAAGGTGATTCCCACATGTGAAGGGAAAATTTAAGAAAAAATGAAAAGCTCAGCACACGAAGGATTCGAACCCTCGGCCTCGCGGACTCAAGGCCACCATTGCAACCACTACACCACTGAAGTACGCCATATTCGCATCATATTAGGGCCGATTTTGGGTCTGCTTCGTATCCTAACGGCCACTGTAGCTTTCTTCAGGGGTTAGATTACAGATTAGAGAACAGAAATCGAACAGGTTTCATGGTATGAGTTTCCAAAAAGAAAATTAAACAGTAATAAAGTTACAGCAAAAAGACAAAAAGACGAGGATGCGCTTCTTTTGCTGCTTTTCCAAACAAAGCTATGGGAATACAGTACCTCTGTAGCATGGTAAGAGAGCACGCGTGGACAAGTTTTTTGAGCGCAGCTGCATCAGCTCCTGGTTCTGTGCTTGCATTAGATCCCGTTTCGGCTTTGATAGCCTACAGTTTGTGTCGCAGCACGTAGCTTTTAGGCAGGAATAGCTACAGAATCAAAGAATGGACGAGGAATTTTTCTAGCCTTCCTATTCCATCGATGCTCTTATATGCTCCCCTTGCCGTTTTCTCCTTATCAGTTCTTTAACTAGGTTTTCATTCATCATGACTATTCCTCCCCGATGGAGGCACACGTATGGAACAGTGAGAGATATTTCCCGCATTAAGCATAAAGGTGGCATCAATAATGAAGTCATTTCTCATAAGATCATGATCGTTAGGTTAAACTCTTCCCAGAAGCGCGGAAGGTGACGATACCACTAAAGAGACTTGATCACTCTGAAGTACCTTCCATTCCACATGGCAATAACGGTTCCAAAAACTAAAGCTAATACTTAATCTGGCAAAATGTCCTTGAGGACCGAAGTTGTAGACCCTAAGTACCAGCAGAGCCCAAGAAGGATCCCTTTTGTGCTGAAAAATGCCTCCTCAATTACCGCTTTCGTGATCACAGAGCCTAACAGCGAACCCTTCTTCAATTCGAAGAATTCCAGATATGGCGAAATCTGGTAATTTCATGATGCTTCAGTGTTTCAAACAGGGTCAACCGTCAAGTTGGACCGATTTCGAAAAATTCACGACCCCCTCCCCTTCTAGAGGGTCTCGATGGCAAACATTAACGCTACCTCGCGAAATACGACCCCACTTTTTTCACCCCAAATACGACCCGCGACCCCACCCCTCGTTGGACTTTGTCCAACGCACGGTTGACACTGGTTTCAAAAGCCGCGCCTATACGATTGAGGAGTAAATGGTCGAACACGCATCGGCGCCTCTCAAAAATCCTGCCTGGTCGCATGACTGACTGCTCCTTATACAATACTCCGCAAATCCTGTTATGGGGCCAGGTGAAGCAAGCCCTAACGAGGGGAAGGGTTCCCTCATCCGACGCGGGTGAAGGGATAGGTCCCTAAACTCGGAGATATATCCCCATTTGGGGACATATCCCCAACCCGACACTCAGCAAGAGACCATTCAAGGGTATTGTCACAAGAACCATTAATTTTCGATCTGCCGGCACGCAAAAAGTCGCTGCCGTTGACTCTCTACGTCTCTGCCGGCGGAAAATATGGTTCCCTAAACGAGGCTTAGGGGAGGAATTCATCCCCTACGACGGAGGAGCGGAGAATCGATGGTATTACATATTCCAGAGTTTTTGAGGCCGAGGTTGCCATTTGCGATCAATGTGATCGTACCGATCGCTTCAAGGACGAATTCACGATAAGAACGAAGGTCAAAGAAGGGGGAAACGGCCTAGTTGGGATACAGGCGGACTTCCTGAGGGTACTGACCAACGCGCAATTGGCAGCGAAAGATTTGGCCTTGGCTGCACGGCTCAGTGTTGGCGCAGTGCGCGGGTGTACACCCACCGACTGTCTACCTCGCCGCATGTCTATACGTGGCGAGTGATCAAGAGCAGAGAGAGCGCACTGTTGAAGAGGGCAAAGCGATGAGAGTCGCATCAATGCGTAAGTCAACGGCAAGGAAAGGGGTCCCATTTCTCGGATTCCCGGGCCCTTTTCTCAGGTTTTTCTTCCTTCGTGCATTCATTGGCCATCTCTAGCTTGATTTGAAATGGGTTGCTTTTACAACTTGGTATGTCATCTGAAGCAGAGGCGACTGATGGGTGTGTCACCCTTGTTCTACTTCGCCAATCGTTTCTCTTGTTCTTCTCGCTGCCTTTCTTCCTCTCTTGCTGGAGGTGTAGGGGATACGACTGTAAGCCGACAATACGGTTCGAATAACACACAGTTCGATAGCTTTGCGTTTACGACTTTTGAGTTGTCGAGATGCAGGGAGATTGACTACTACAGCTTTTGCATAAATTTAAAGTCCATGTAAAAGTTCTGAAGTGTTTCTTTGAGGAGCTTCCAAGAAATGGGCTCACTATAATATTTTTTGAACTGGTCAACACCACTGTCCATTCGAAAATACCTTCGTCATCATCTCAAAGAGGACGACATTTAAGATCACAAACAGAATGGGGTTTCAACGATAAACATTGGCGTGTAGATTTTATTTATGCACAAATCGACAAAGTGGACCTTTTTAAAAGTGAAAATGAAAGTTTTTGCATTGTCTATACATGGGACTTGTACTCAGTTCTCAACGAACTCCTTTATATACTTTTTGAAGCCTTCGGTAGGTTCGATCTCGTATCTTGAATGTAGAATACGGGATAGAGTCGCGGCCTGCGCTTTGATTATTGATGACCCAACTATTAATACCACCCAGGAAATTGCGATCGGTGACCCCAATCACTTGCACTTATACAATACAAAAATGGACATGGCTAGAAGGATGGCACGTGTGTAGCAACAAATTACGAGGCGCATTAAACTATTATACATCAGTGTGGGTTTGCCTATTGAAGATATGTTCGCTAGCGCCGGCGGGAAGCATTATGACTCATGGATATAAAAAATCCTGTGCCTCTCGTGGTAACATCAAATTAAACAGCTATCGTCGTCGAAAGGAAAATCGTCTGAGGTTCTCGGATGACTCCTTAAGTGAGACCTCTATAGATGTTAAAAGGATTTTAGTAGTCACTCGTAGAGTCAGTTTGTGACAAGAAAGGTAACTTCATTCTCTTTCTTGGTACCGCGGTCATGTCAGTATGTAAAGTTTAACAATTTTTTGCTACGAGGTTGTTGTGGTGGAACTTTTATTAGTGGCCTAACGTTTCGACTGAATCGTCGTCTTCAGAGGCCTGAACGTGTTTCAAGCGTTAGACTTACGCTCTACACCACCAAGCGCCTCATCAACTCTAGCGGTTTCGACATCGTGTCAGAAAACCCCTCGAGAAGATCAGGACAGCGCAAGAAATAAACTCACCGTCGGTTCCACCCTTCGAGCGGAAAAGTCCGCTGCCACACAGAGCGCTGATCAGTTAGAACTGAAGAATACCATACTGTCTCCTTATGTCAAAAATAGTCGGGAGACGCACGTAACGCTCTGTCATTCTACAGCTCGCAGTGCGGAATGAACGGCAGTAGATCATTTGTTATTGAAGGACACTCATCGCGGCTGTTCATTCTTGGATTTCTAGTGAATATCCAGAATGCTTCTAATGCCTTCCGCGCGGAAATTTCCGTCTCTTGAGCCAGCAGCGTGCACCTTATTTCAAAGTCATTCCCGTTATGCTCCTCAACCTTTATGTCTTCCCAAAGGTGTTGTCACAGTACCGCGTCTCAAATTAGCAAGATGTTCCTTGATACGAATTGCTAAAACCCTTCCTGTTTCCCCTATGTACGTAGCGTTACATGCCTGACATTTAATCTCATATATTGCTCCAAGATGAGCACAATCTCCAAGTTTTCCATGCGGGCAGATAACGCAATTTTCGGATATGCACTGCTTGTCATAAAGTCTGTTACGAACCAATTGCCGTTTGATGTTTTCGTTGGGAATATTCACCAACTGGACATCTCCCTGCAATTGGGCTCTTATTATGCACCGATTGATGGCAGTGCTAACTTTATCCGATATGAAAGGGATGCACAGGGGCAGTTTACCTCGACGTGGTACCTCTCGCGGGCCAACATGCTGCCGTATTCTAGATGTTGGGCCGTACAGCTCAATGCTTGCGATATAGCGTAATTCCTCGCCGCAAGCTGGTCTTCCGCTGAATCTCTGCTCGCTCGACATTACCAGTGCGAACATTCCTGTTGCCGTTTTGAACATGTTGTTAACAACAGCACGTTTGACGGCAGTAGGATGCGCCGATGTCGCGTGAATCAAGATGTTCTTCGAGCTGCTTTTACGGTACCACTTTACATGTGCGATGCCACCGGATACTTTGACCTGCGTGTTCAAATAGGGTAGGGTAGTCAACCGTCTTTAGGTGTTGTCGGCGTGGGCAGCTGTATATATTGTGACTGTCAGCAGCTTAGAGGCCGTACATATAACAAGCTGACACGCGAAACACCTAAAGACGGTTGGCTACCCTATTTGAACACGCAGGTCAAAGTATCCGGTGGCATCGCACATGTAAAGTGGTACCGTAAAAGCAGCTCGAAGAACATCTTGATTCACGCGACATCGGCGCATCCTACTGCCGTCAAACGTGCTGTTGTTAACAACATGTTCAAAACGGCAACAGGAATGTGCACTGGTAATGTCGAGCGAGCAGAATCACGACAGCTTGCTGCGAGAATAGCTGTTGCAAATGGCTATACGGCACCACATCCTAGAATACGGCAGCATGTTGGCCCGCGAGAGGTACCACGTCGAAGTAAACTGCCCCTGTGCATCCCTTTCATATCGGATAAAGTTAGCACTGCCATCCATCGGTGCATAATAAGAGCCCAATTGCAGGGAGATGTCCAGTTGGTGAATATTCCCAACGAAAACATCAAACGGCAATTGGTTCGTAACAGACTTTATGACAAGCAGTGCATATCCGAAAATTGCGTTATCTGCCCGCATGGAAAACTTGGAGATTGTGCTCATCTTGGAGCAATATATGAGATTAAATGTCAGGCATGTAACGCTACGTACATAGGGGAAACAGGAAGGGTTTTAGCAATTCGTATCAAGGAACATCTTGCTAATTTGAGACGCGGTACTGTGACAACACCTTTGGGAAGACATAAGGTTGAGGAGCATAACGGGAATGACTTTGAAATAAGGTGCACGCTGCTGGCTCAAGAGACGGAAATTTCCGCGCGGAAGGCATTAGAAGCATTCTGGATATTCACTAGAAATCCAAGAATGAACAGCCGCGATGAGTGTCCTTCAATAACAAATGATCTACTGCCGTTCATTCCGCACTGCGAGCTGTAGAATGACAGAGCGTTACGTGCGTCTCCCGACTATTTTTGACATAAGGAGACAGTATGGTATTCTTCAGTTCTAACTGATCAGCGCTCTGTGTGGCAGCGGACTTTTCCGCTCGAAGGGTGGAACCGACGGTGAGTTTATTTCTTGCGCTGTCCTGATCTTCTCGAGGGGTTTCTGACACGATGTCGAAACCGCTAGAGTTGATGAGGCGCTTGGTGGTGTAGAGCGTAAGTCTAACGCTTGAAACACGTTCAGGCCTCTGAAGACGACGATTCAGTCGAAACGTTAGGCCATTAATAAAGGTTCCACCGAACAACCTCGTAAGGCACAAGAAAATTTGTTAAGAAAGGTAACCTTTGAAACTTTTGGTCAGCAAATGCTGTATCGACAGAATGCCCCTCTCTGCTTTCTTCCCTGTATTCGTTTACTAACTTCTTTTAATTGATTGTCACTATCAAAAAGTAGTCATTTGAGGAAGCTCATTACATAACAAAGTTTACGATTAGCACTTCGTAAACTCATTAACTGGTTAACAGTTCGGTTCGAACTATTAACGTTTAAGGATCAATGTTCCGTTGTTCCCGAAATGGGACGGAGCTGACATAAAGATTAAACCTTTATAAAATTGTCCAGAAATGTGGCCAAAAATTTACCCGCATAGTTACGGCGAACGTACCGTGGGTGAATTATACCTTTTAAAATCTTTCCGGTACTCGCAGTTGTTCAATTTTTTTGCAAGAAAAGATTGAGAGAGTACCTTCAAGTTAATCAAGTTCTGAGGACAAGGGCTCCCGCGCTCTAGTAGATTACGTGACTACTTCAAACTCTCCTCCTGTGTTCTCTGCCGCGAAAGGCCAGAGCACAGACGATTAGAGAACGGCGCCTGGCTCGGCTCCAAACCTCAAGCAAGAAGGTGAGAGCTCTAGGACTAAGCCTTAGAGGGAGGAGGACTCCGTAATCGGTGAGATCTAATTAAGGCGGTTTAAAGGACTTAGCTAAAGCTGCCCGTAGACCGGATACCGGATAGCAACGTCTCACTGACCGGTCGGGGATGGGGACATGTCCCAAAAGTTGGGAATATTTTCCCGAGGTTGAGTCTATTCCTGAACTTCCAGACATATCCCCTCACCCGCGGAACATTTACGAATGAGTGCGCCGACCGGTCAGTGAGACGTTGCTAGAGTATCAGTCTGCATGGCAACTTTGGAAAGATCAAACTGTAATGAAGTGATAGAGTTACTCTCAAAAAGGTATCATATCGTTTCCCGCTTCCTCCCGATCGCCTTTTACAGCCACTATGAATTTTATCATCACGCTGACATAAGAATGATGCATACCTTCATGCCACCGAGATTTTGTAAGAGCAGAGCAGCAACAACAATGATGCAAGTGCCCATAGATAGAATGAACACAAGTCTGCGTCCTAGCCAAGCAAACCTAGCGTCAGCAAAGCCCACAATCTGAAATACATTTTGACATGAACAAATTCTTCTTTCAAAATTTGTTGGAGTCAAAGGAAGCTATCTGTCGCGAAAAGAAGAATTAGAAATCCCAGTATCAACGAGATACTTCACCGAGGACCAGTGCTCTTACCTGACCTCACTGGAATACTCATACGTTGCAGGCTTCCTCCAATCCTGATTATCAGTGACATTGAAAAGGCATTTCTGATGGTGGCACTTCACCCTGACTGCAGGGACTACACACGTTTCTTGTGGGTCAACGATACAACGAAACCATTAACGTCCACTAATATAGTTACCTACCGATTTGCCCGTGTACCATTTGGCCTCATATGCTCTCCTTTCCTGCTGTCCGGTACTATCCATCACCATCTGACAAAAATAGCAACTTCCCTTTCACAAACACTTCTCCGAAACACTTATGTAGATAACGTGTTCCACGGCGTCAACAATGTTGCCGATGGAAAGAAGTTCTACGCTGACTCCAAAGAATTGTTTCGTCAAGCAGGCATGAACTTGAGAGAATACGCCAGCAATTCTTCAGAACTAAACAAGCTTTTTGAAGAAGAAGGTAGAAGTATGGCGCAAACACAAAAACTTCTCGGCCTCCGATGGAACACTCTTACCGATGAACTGTTTATCAGTCTCCCACGAAAACCACCAGAGCAAACCAAATGGACGAAACGGAAGGTGCTGAAAGAAGTAGCCAGCATCTATGACCCGCTGGGTATACTCTCACCAGTCACTCTCATTGGAAAACTCTTTCTTCAGTCACTGTGGAAATATGAAGCAGAGATGGGACGACGTACTTCCTGATGAATTGGCCTCCCAATGGCAACACATAATTAACACTTGGTCCGATCACACATTGAACCTCAACCGCCTCATCGTTGAAACAGGGCCAACCACGACATCAGATTTCGATCTTCATGTATTTACAGATGCGTCCGCAAACGCGTATTGCGCAGTGGCATACCTAGTTCAACGCCGTCAAAGTTCTCCTCACAAAGTTTCGATCTTGATGGCAAAGTCGAGGCTGGCTCCACTTCATCAATCTATAACCATACCCCGCCTAGAGTTGTCGGCTCTCACTATCGGTTCTAAACTGCTTACGTTTCTCTCTACGCAGCTAGACCTGGAGTTGCGTCGAAAGTTTCTGTGGACCGACAGCACTGTTGCCCTTAGGTGGACAAACACTGATAAAACAGTGCCAGTGTTCGTTCGTAACCGAGTGAAAACGATTCGATCACTTACCTCGATCACTCACGCGGAACTATCAAAAGATATGCCTCAAAAAACGAGTAATGAGAGTGCAGAACATGGCTGTCATCCTGCCATCTCCTCCAACTCAACACCACCATTGAACCTGCATTTGGACACCTTCCGCTTCAGCACATGGAATTCCCTGCTAAAAACGGTATTCTTGATCCTACGCTTCTTCACCACAATGTCTCCGAAAGCTGCTTCACTCTTCTTCGGTCGTCATCATGCAGTACTCCGTGCAAGAGCCGAACGAGTACTATTTCGATTGGCCCAATCCCAAAATCCCCCCAGTCCCGAATTGATCCGCCAACTCCACTTGTTCCAGTGTCCGAAGACGTACCTTTGGAAATCTCAAGGACGCATCGACAATAGTAATCTCCATCAAGATACTATCACTCCTGTGTTCCTTCCCAGTACAAACCGCATTACCACTCTTTTCATACTCCATACCCACTCCGAAGGCAACCACTGCGGTCTCAATCACACGCTAACTCAGCTACGGCAGCGCGTTTGGATCCCAAAGGGAAGAGCAACCGTCAAAAGAGTTCTAAGAAACGAATGCTTCTATTGCAAACGTTATACCGCCAAACCTTTCACCCTCCCTCCATTCCCGCCTCATCCTTCTCTTCGAGTTACGACACCGCAATATCCCTTCCAAAGTGTAGGCATGGACTTCTTTGGACCGATGCTTTACCGCAACTCCGACGGAATGTCCTCAAAATATTGGGT